TTCAAAGACACAAATCGAGAGGCAGAATTTCCAAAAATAAATTCCTTCAACACAAAGTTAGTTCCGATAACCAAAGGCTGCGATCTGTGTTCGAAGAAGAACCACCCCGTGCGTATATGTCCACGCTTCCTACAGATGACGGTAGAAGATCGCTTAGCCTATATCCAAAGGAAGCAGTTGTGCTCCAATTGCTTTGCAAATAGCCATCAATTCCGGGATTGCACAAGCGCTCACAACTGTCTCACTTGCCAAGATCGGCATCACACATTGCTTCACCGAAACAGCGGTCCTACTACTCCGACGATTCCATCCGACCCTCCAAGGCCAGTATCCGCCTCAGTTCCACACATCATTTCGTCCTATTCAACGCAAGTTTCCGTACAAAAAGTTCCTCCTAAGAATACTCCATCCGAATATTGGGTTCCATACCCCGCCTTGGATGGCAGACGTACTCGAGGTATTAAATCCTATTAATGCCGAGTCTTCCAAAAGATCCATCCTCTTCGGAAGTGCCACCACTTTCTACGGCTAAGCCCCCAGAATGGGCTTCAGGAAGTACATATCCAGAAGTACTGCTCCAATTGCTTGGCTCACAATCATTCCAAGGACTCCTGCCGCAGTGGTCATCACTGCCACAAGTGTGGAAAGGCCCACCACACTCTCCTACATACGGACGACCGATCTATACTTCCAACATATTCCTGAGCCTACTATCCTGAGGTTCTTGCTACGGGTGTCCTCGCAAGGGGGGGGGAGAATGTTCACGCCAAAAGGGCGTTTAATTTCAGGAGGCAGTGTCGAGCGGCAGTTTTATCCAGATTTCTATATCTCGCGCGCTCGCACTGCCGTCCGCTCTCCCTCTCCATCTCTCCCCTAAGTCTCCGCTCTGCTCTGGAGCGCTTAAGTTAAGTTAGGCTTAAGCAGTTCTTGTTTCAAAGTGATACAATAAACATCTACGCACGTCGCGTAAAAACCCCAAAACACTCCCGTGTTTTTTGGGTACCACTCAATCTTGGGGCTTCAATTATTTCATCGATCAAGCCGCACCGCCCCAACATACTCTTTTATCACACACTTCACTTTTTTTAATTTCTACACACACACGCACATTATTGAAGGCTTTAGATATATCTTTTTTTTGTTATCGCGGAAAGAGTTCTTCTATTAAATAAATATTAAATAAAAAAAAATACTCTTTATCTCACATCACTTTCTCTGCATTTCTGTTTTTTTTTTTTTTTGAAGGCTTTAAAAATATATTTTTTTCCTGATCGCGTAAAAAGATCTATTAAATATAGCAGATCTTCCTCATCGATACAGAAAAAATATACTCTTCAACTTACGTTACACACACACACACACACACACACACACACACACACACACGATCGTTGATTTTGATATTGTTTCTGCCATATTTTGTGAATATTAATATAATCAATAGGTCGTTGAACAGAAACAATATAATATTGTTTTTTTTTGTTTTTGCGACTGTAAGCTGAAATGAGAACGTTGTTTATTAAGAGATTCTATTTTCAGGAGTAAATAAGTTTTTTATTAATGTTGATAGGTTAATATATATATATATATATGTATATAGGTTATTGTTATATATGTGTATATTATTAATATCGCTTTTCAATTCTCTCAGCCAAGTCCTGGTAGCGTTGTATTATAATATAAACTCCTACTTTGAAACGTTTTCTAATGTTACGTGAAAACTTCAATTCGGTATCTGATATGTGTGCCCCTATCGTCATCAATTTCCTCATATTACGTAAGGTCTGTGTTCAAAACCAGGTAGAATGTCTTCATACTCAATGCAAAATTTATCGATTTCTTTTTTTAGCTCATCAACTTCGTCTGTATTAACGAATGTTTCAATCTCATAACTGATTAATTCTTTCCTATTTCTGTATCCCGCACCGAAAACGTCATCATCATCTTCAATAATAATTTTAGGATTTTTTTTTGATAGGTTTTCACGCAAAAAGCGATAGCGTTGCATTAAATTAAACGCTCCCCACATGAATTGCCCCCTGATTGGGCGTAAGGCTCTGTAGTCCCCTGGCGTAAGTACTGTTCTTACTGACAAAAGTTTTTTTATAGTGCGTAAGGTTCTCAGATCGGCGCTAGATATTACATCATCGTATAACGTACGAAACTCTTCAATTTCATCCTTTAGCTCTCGAATTTCTCGATCAGAAACACCAACAGCGTCTTCACTGTTGATAGATCTTCGTTTAGCAAGAGAGTTAACAGTGGTGGATTTAACCAACTTATTGGGTCGAGGATCTTCCTTTTCAGCAACACCAGCAGCAGCAGCAGCAGCAACACCAGCAGCAGCAGCATCAGCATCAGCAACACCAGCAGCAGCAGCATAATCAGTAGTACCATCATCAGTACTTTATTTTTTTTTTTGATTGAAAAAATATAAATAAAAAAAAGAGATGAAGAATAAATTATAATTTTACATTCTTTTTTTATGTTTTTTTGTTTTGTCTAGGCGCAGCAGGTATGGTTATGGTGGAGACCTACGTTATTATCCTCAATGGTGTCCTCAGGAATTTGATTTAAGATCTTGTAATCGTGGAAGGTATAGTCTTCTTCTTCTTCTGAGGTTGCGTAACCGGGTTGTCTGTGGGTACACACCACACATTTTCAATTGGAGCATCGAAGCGCTTTCGGTGGTCTACTCAATTTGCTTAACCAATTTGAATCGGATGCTTCTTCTGCTCCTACTACCACTTTCTTGAATTTGATCGTTTGTGACTCCATGTTATTTTCTGCTTGCTTGCTTAGTTTTGGTTATATATTGTTCACGTACTTAATTCAATTATGAACTGACTTTGAATTTGACTGTCTCAGCGCTATTTATTGGAAATTTTTCGCTGATTGAGTGTGTGTATGTGGACGCTACATTTTCTCGCAATCACTTGCAAATACAAAGTAAGTGTTTTTTGTTTGAAATTCCTTTTGAACACCGGATGTGCGATAACTGCATCCAATGCAAAAAAAAAAATTATCAATTTGTTTATTTCTACCCCCACGCTCAATTTTTTTATTTAAGTAGGTGGCTTGCTGGATTTTTTTCGTTTTTTTTTTTTAAAGTTATGTGAAAGATAACGAAGAAAAAAAGGACATTAAAATTTATTGGCTGAGTGGATGATATGAGTATGCTTTGAGAAAAAAAATGTGATTTAAATTCACAACTGCGCAATAAGTGCACACACACACACACACAATCACTTGCAATACAAAGTATGTATTTTTATTTTTTTTATTTTTTTCTTGTGATAACGAAGAAATAAAGGGTTTTAAATTTATTGGCTGAGTGGGTGATTTAAATTCCTCAACTGCACAACAAGTGAGTGTTAAAAAAATCCCGCTCTTGCCCTCCCTCTCGCTCTCCCTACCGCCCTCCCTCCCGCTCACCACAATATTAAATACGATTTTTTTTTTGTAGTTTCACCACAATATGAAATATTAGTATTTTAATTTATTTCTAATTTTTTTTTGTTTTTTAAATATTTTGAGGACAATAAACATTATTAAGTTCGTGATTATTATTATTATTTCGAACTGCTGATGCTGTATCTTCAGTCATCGCAACTTTGATGCAGTCTATATAAAAAGAAAATATTATTTGAAATAGTACAATTGCAAGATAGACTAACAAAAGCAATAATAAAAATATAATAGTAATGTTAATATGATAGACATATTTTGGTACAAGTGATGTTTTTGAAACGTCATCGTTGTCTGCTGCTGCTGCTGCTGATGATGAGTCTGGTTCTTTGATGCTGGTTGTTGTTTGTGTTGCTGCTGTTGTGTTGTCTGCTGCTGCTGATGATGATGATGAGCCTGGTTCTTTGGTGCTGGTTGTTGTTTGTGTTGTTGTTGTTGTTGCTGTTTCTGTTGTTGTCGGGGGTTGTGGTGTTGTTGTTGTTGTTGTTGTTGTTGTTGTTTGATTTGAAGTGATTTTAGCGACTGCGCATACTAACAGTAATAGGAATACGCGAAAATCCATTTTTTTTTTCTTCGAAATGCTTGAGAGAGAGACTCGAGAATAATTTTCAGCATACTAAATCTACTGACCAACATACATTCAATTTTATAGCTGAATCTATATACTATATATCACATTTTATCTTGCCTTAATTTTCCCCCCATTTTCTTTGTTTTCCTTTTTACAATCTCTCGCTCTATAATACACACACACACACACACACACAAACAACACAGGAAGGCTCCCACTTATTATTCGGATATACTAGATGATGACGATGATGATGATCTGAAATATATATAACAAATAAAATAACTGATATATATATATATTTATTAGTAGTATACTTACAAAATTTGATAGGAAGTCATAATTTGTAATGCGTCATGTTCATCAAACAATTTTTGTTGTACACTCAGGGAAAAACGCCGTGCGAAAAAGAAGTACAAACAGCCTTGACTTAAGAACGATTTAATGCTGAACTTTTTGAGAACGTTGGTACTGAAAAATTCTTAAATTGAGTACAATTTGGTTCCAAATAAGATCAAGCAGAAAAAATTCTTAAATGAATTACGGAAGTTTTCAAATCAAGATTAAAAATATTTCGTTCAAGACCGAATACAACTTAATAATAGCACAAACATTGTTTGCCACTATTTTTTTTTTAAATAAAAATAAAGATCTGGGTAAAGATTTGGAACAGATAATAACTGGAAACATCCTTATATACTTGCAATTAATTTAGTTAAGTACTAAAATTATTTTATTTCTCAAAGGGTGTCAAAATCTTCTTCTTCGATAAGGGGGAAGGTCAGACTATCAAATTGTTTGATTTAAACAAAGTTATATACATTTATGGCTAGCATTTTTAAATGCAAATTTAAAAAGATATTTTTTCATTTTAATAAATGTTAAATTTTAATCGGCTGACCGTAGCTTTTGGATTTCTTGACGTCCTCGCCGTTCTTTTAAAAATCCTAGAACGGTCACACTTGGCTTATAAGCGTCTCAATTGACCCAAGCGTTTTCGCGGCACATACATAAGTGAAACAAAAAGTTATAAAAATGAGTGAAAAAGAATGTGAAGAGGATCCACTATATCAACTTTTAAAAAAGATAGAAATTGAGGAAGTGCATACATTTCTAACAGGTAAGAAAAGCACGCGTTTTTTGGTGCAGTTGTAATTTTTATACATAGCGGTAAAACATTGTATGTATGTTTATATGTGTGTACATGTGTTATTTTTGCAATTCAGAAACGCATCCGTTTTGTTTTATAAATTATAAAATATGCCTTAACTTCAAATGTGTGCAATGTACATAAATAAGTTTGTAATAAGCGGTAATAACATTTCTTAGAAATTCTGTACTGGGTTCTTTCACAAATAACTGTAAGCACGTGTTTCTCGTGTAAAAAGTGCATACGTACAAACAAGTGTATATACATATGTATATAATTTTACCGTCATTCGGCGACTTTTCGTTTACATAAAAAAGAGGAATACAAACGCCGACTAGTGGCTTACTGGTCAACACAGTTATCAAATTTCGTGGAATTCTTCCGGGGGTGTTTGTATTCCTCTTTTTTATGTAAACGAAAAGTCGCCGAATGACGGTAAAATTATATATGTATGTACACTTGTTTGTACGTATGAACTTTTTACGCGTGAAACACGTGCTTACAGTTATTTGTGAAAGAACTCAGAACAGAATTTCTAAGATTCTAGAAATGTTATTACCGCTTATTACAAACGTATTTATGTACATTGTACACATTTAAAGTTAAGACATATTTTATAATTTATAAAACAAAAAGGACAGGTATTGAATGTGCGTTTCTGACTCGTAAAAAGTACACACGTACACACATATATACATACACACAATGTTTTACCGCCATTCCGTCTCTTTTAGCTTAGTTGAGACGCCAGCTAATAATATGTATGTTCATAAATTTTAACTCCCTTGTCAATATCATAAATTAAACCTATATTTTTACTTACATATTTACATAAATTTAAATATTTATTCGCATCAACTTAGCTGCTAAAGTAAACATCGAGCAGCTAAAATACATGAACGCCGATGACATTAAGGAGGCAGTGCCTCCATTAGGTCTGCGCATAGGGTTTAGACAAAAACTCTTCAGATGGAAGGAGTCTGAGGTACGTTATTAGCCAAATAGTACATGAATAGGGTTTAAAGTATTTTTAATTTGCAGGGTGGAGATGAAGACCGAATTGCGCCACTACCCTCTTTTGTCAGACGTCAAGGCTCCCCTAAAGTTCATTTTGAATAAAAGTTTGCACTCCTTACTTAATGAGTCTCGAAAGGGCATGAAGATTTTGGAACACGAAGAGACTCATCTTTGTCTTCCCCAAGTGCTTCGGGACGAACTTATTTCTATTATAATAGAAGAGGCCATGCTCGAACACATTACGATTAGCGTTCCAGATTTCCAAGCCTTGCTAGAGGAAATATGTTTTGTTCTCCCAAGCCAGATAAACGTTAAGGTAAAAAAATAATGCTATAAATAATTTGATTTGCTTTTCTAATTTATGTTTGTATAGGATTACTATTTTATACCTCGAATGGGTAGAGGCAATCCTGCAGGAAAACTATATTCAAAATATATGAACCGCCGCAGCCGCATATTAAAACAGAAGAAAAGGTCTGTAGAACTTGTGATCTCCGAAGAAGATGATGCAGACATCTGCAAGGCATACAAGCTCACGCTTAGCCGTACATGTGACGATTGAGAGAGTGTACGTGATATGTGGAAAAAGACATACAAAATACGACAGAAAGACGTCACGGCTCTGAACAACTCTGATTTTTTTAAAGCTTGGAATAAATTTTCCCGTGCAAAGGCGTACGAGCTGGTAAGAAAAAATATATATTTATTTTTATACCCTTGCAGAGGGTATAATAGTGGTTTCCGACCCCATAAAGTATATATATTCTTGATTAGCATCACTAGACGAGTCGATCTAGCCATGTCCGCCTGTCCGTCCGTTTCTAGCAACAATCCTTAAAAATGTAACATGGTGTTACTAACATTGATTATTTCTTATAACTGCAAGGGTATACAAACTTCGGCTTGCCGAAGTTAACTTTTTTTCTTGTGTTTAACATTTTATAAATATTTTTGTTTTTCAAGATTGATATTGATTTCGACCTTATGTATCCTGGAAAAGGTTTTCATTTGCTTTCAAAGTGGCAAGAATTTCGGCAAAAAATAATGTGTTATTACGAAGACAACATCATTAATGAACATTGCAAAGCCCAACTCTTGCTTGTTAAAAACTGCACCAACATAGGTAAGCTTAACATTTCTTGTTATTTAATCTAAGCATAGAAAAGTTTGTATTTATTTTGTGATTCACTGTTTTTAAACTAATATTAATCATATTTATACCCGCTTTTTTGACAAAGCGAATACTATACCTTTTATTTGTATTATAAATATATAATATTAAACTATTCTAATATAACAGATGCCCAGGACTTCATAATCGCCACATTGCTGAATGCTGTTTTGCCCTCATCAGCCCGCTTCAGAATGAAGATGGAAAATTTACAAGGAAAGCTACAATACTGGACGCGCAGGAGAGTTTCGTGCTGAGACTAGTAACTATTAATGACTTAGATATTCAATTGGACCGAGTCATAAACATGTATTACAGTTCGGGTCTTAAATTACATCCTATTATTATTGTAGTTGGTCCTTTCGATTGTGAGATCAACGAATTATTTTTATATTTTGATGGAAATTTAATAAGTGGCCCAAATGTACATATATAAAAGATTATAAGTTGTTTTAGTTATAAGGAAAATATTTTTGTACTATGTAATGAAGTAGGTTTAATTCGATTTGACAAACATTTTTATTCTTATGAAATCGGTTATCCATCCGATACATTTTGCATTTTAAACATTAATGAAATAACTACTCTTCCTTTGCACTTATATACAATAAACAATAGAAAATCGTATCTTAAATTTAAATATATATAGAAACTATAAACCTGTGAAATAAAATTTAAGCCAAAACAATAGCTTCTTAAGCGTATATAGAAAATGTAAAATAAAAATGAAAAATAAAATGAATATCAAAACAATAGCTTCCTAAGCGTATGTAACAACTGTAAAATAAACATGTACAATAAAATGTAAGACAAAACAATAACTTCCTAAGCGTATAAAAAAATAAAGTTTCTGAAATTGAGTTTTACCATACCTTCTTTTAAGAATGGGGGATCCGGTTTTAAGATCTAACAGTTCTTAGATCTGGCATGATGTGATCTTAATATAATAATTATTCCTGCTTAACTTAAAATGTATATTGTCTTAATTTAAAAATGAAATATTCTTGAACTTAGTATTTTTACTCTAGCTTCAAGAGTATAATTTACTGGGTTTAGTAATGGTTTGTTCTTAAATCAAGCCTAAAATGTTCTTAATTTATTAATAAATCGCACTTATTTCAAGTATATATATGTCTAGACTTAAGAATACTTTATTATTGTTTTGAGAAAGCTCCATACTTGATTTTAATCCTCAGCGTTCTTAAGTCGTACTGAAACCAAGAATTTGCGGACTTGAAAATTCGTGCTTGAAATAAGTATTTTGTTCTTTGGTTCTGTATTTTCCATGCTTGGCGAAGTTTTGACACCGAAAATACTAGGTTCAAGCACGAAATACTTGATTTTTTTTCTGAGTGTATGTACTTGAAATGTTGTTCTTTTTCACAATCTACTACATCATCAGCAGCAGCAGCATAAGTTGTACTCATCTCTTTATTCGATTCCATTTGATTAAAGGTAATATTTAAATTTTTAATATGTTCTAATCGCATATGTATACTTTGGAGGGTTTCTTTATCCTCGGGCGACAGAATGTGTAGATAATTTTGAATAAAATCAATAATTTTTTTTGTAAATGTCATTATTTTTTTTTTGTGTTGTTATTATTGAATATTTATATGCAAAACCTGTTGATAATCATTGATGTTATACGTTCCGATGTGTCTCTCTAACTGAAGGTTGGTGGGGTTGGCTTCATCGTAATAATCATCTCCCTCATCGTTGGTAAAGTCTCGTTCAAAAAAATAATTTTTCTCTATCAGGTTTGGCTCATTGGTATTGCTTACAGCATTATAGTGATGACAAAAAATTCGTAATGTTTTATTTGTGAAATCGCTATGATAATTGCATCGAATATTGACAATACTTCTCAAGTATCTTAATTTGAAATATCTACAAATTACAGCGGGTGCGTCAATTATTCCACCAATATCCTCTTCTTTTCTAATTAACTCTCGGCGGAAATTTTCAACTACCTCATCGATCGTGGGGAAAGTAAGAGGCATATGTTCGAATAGTACCAAATCTCGTTTAAATCTAATATCATGTTGATTTTTGTTGTTGCTGCTGCTGCTGCTGCTGCTGCTGCTGCTGCTCTCTCGAATCACTTCCACAAATGCGGTATTAAGTTCAAAAATTAAATTTACTTTGACAGTCAATGTTTCGTTTACAACGAGATCAAAACTAGAGTATTTAATTTCCGTTTGGTAGGGAATTTTTTTGATATCATATTCGCTTTTTACTGGCGCTATTCCAACGAGGGTTCCAAGTACAAATAATAATATCAAAACCATAATTATTTTCATTTTGTGTATTTATTATTAATTTTTATTATGCGATTATATACTTTCCCTGTGGGTGAATGCTTAGAGACTAGTTTTACAGAATTGTGATTAAAGTAAAAAAATGCATGAATGCATGTATAGTATATAGGTATAAAGAATATAAATTTTTTTTTGACGTCTCTCTCTCGGGCTCTGGCTTTGGCTCTCTCTACTGATTATTGAGTATTAGCTGCATTTGTTTTGGGCTGATGGCTTAGTAACAACAACACTAGTAAGTAAATGCATGAATAAAGTATGTATATAAAAATATATATATATATAGGTATAAGTATAAAAAAAGATTAAAAAAGTTTTTTTTGTCTGCTCTCTTTCTCTCGGGGCTCCGGCCCTCCACTGATTATCGTTTATTGGCTGCGTCTGTTTGTTTGTGTGTTGTAATCGACTTCTAGCGCGTGCCTCTCTCTCTCTCTCTCTCTCTCTCTCTCTCTCTCAAGTGATTGTCATCGTCTCAGTTTGTATATAGTTGTTGATGTCTTCGTTGAGGATAATGTTCTTCAGGGTGTTGGGGTTTTTTTCGACAAATGTTTGTTCTACCTCACCGTTTGCTAATAAACGTTCAATAATGATTGTCTCAATATATTGATTGCATTTTACATTTAGTGTTCTCTTCTCATAATTGCTTTTATACAAACAACGAATTGATATAGCCGACTCTTTATATTGGAGATTAAAGTGCCTATAGAATGGTACTGTTGCATTCAGTATTCCTCCAATATTTTTCTCCTTTTCTATTAGGTTTGCTTGAAACAATTCGATTACTTGATCAACCGTAACTTTAATGTTATCCTCGGCATTGTCCTCATCGTTAGCTGTTGGTGTTGGTGTTGACGATTCAGTTATCAATTCCACCCACTCACTGGGTTTTATTGTTGTGGTTGGTGGTGGTGGTGGTGGTGGTGTTGATGATGGTTGTCTCATAAATTCTAATGAGAGGTTTACTTTTAACACCTCGTTGTTCGATAATGTTATATTAAATTCTACACTTTTTGTATTTGTATTGATACTATTGGTGATATTCAGAATAGAAGCAAATTCAGGATTCGGAATAGGATTACAGTTTCCCTCCCCGAAATTGCAACCGAATAGTAAAATAATTACAATGATTATTATTCGCAACATTTTTATTTTTATTTTTTATATTTTTTTTTGGTTTTTATTCTCGTTTTGATTGTAGTTTCTAGCTTGCAGTTCGACTTGCTACTAATGCTTGCTTGCTTGCTTGCTTGCATTCTCACAGAGAACGCAATAGAAAAAATATTCACATATACGTACATTGTATATATATATATATATATATATTTATTTATAATATTTTTCAAACCTCGTTTGATAGCGGTGTATATTCGAATAATTTATCATGAATTATTAGACAGTATGCAGATGTTTTTGAAGGGATATTACTTTGTGTTTTAATCTCAATTCGTATATCAATGGGTCCACTTTTTACTGCTTCATTTTGATGCGTTACATCTAAGACAATAATGGGAGCCTTATTTTTATAAGTCTCTAGCGATAATATCGGTTGTGACTCACAGCCGTAGTAACTTTTTTGAAAATTGATATACATATCGTATAATAGTGCATATCTATTATAAGAAAAATTTTGATTTAATCCGTCATACGGATATACTTCAGAATTGAGATATACTTTCACATCGACTAAATCACAATGAACATACTTCTTATTGTTTTTAAATGCGATAATAACATAGCGAGGGCGTTCAGTTTCAGCAGCTTATTTAACACTCCAAATAAATGTAGTAGTCTGTGGAACTACTGGGTTATAGTATATATCCCAACTCCTGAAGGGAATCAATAATGACGTTTGTTTGTTTATCACATTAAACATGTACAATTTATAAGCATCAGACAATTGTACATGGGGCATTTTCCAAACAATGCTCGAAATCGTCATTTTCAATTGACTCATTGTTAAAGCTACAGCAGTGCTCTTATAAACATCATCGTTATCTTTTCCTCTTAATAGAACTAGCTCGTGTTTCCCATTCAGCAGTATTTTATTGTAGTCCTCAGCAAATCCAAGTAACAGATTCAACGGCACGCAAAAATTAAAGTTTCCTCTTTCAAGTTTTAAATTGTCTGTGATGGACCATCCACAATTTTCGAGCAAGTGTTCTTGATTTCGTTTAATTGATAAATAATTTTTTAAATCGCTTGTTACACCCAAATGTCGTGTTCGATCAATTTCAATACCATTCAATTCATATCGTATTTCACTAAATAGATACGCCATACAATTATTCAATAAAGCTATTGTGGTTTCGATTTGATCATCAACTGAATGTCAATCCGAATTTCGTCATTGTTCTCATACGATCGCAAATAGGGTGAATAACTATGATAATCTTTCTTTATTATTGAATTATCAATAGTCGGTTTCTCAAGCACGTTAATTATATGTGACATTTTTTTTTTTTTTAATTTGAATCCTAAACTCAATAAAAATTTTTTATTGCACTCCGTTAATGGGATTTGTTTTTGTTGTCGTCGCCGTCGTTGTTGTTTTCGAGTAGCTAATCTGGTCAGCGTTGGTAAAGCGAGTGAGGGAGAATTGAGTGATAATGCCTTTTTATAGACGTTATTGTTGTTGTTGTATATAATCATTTTTTTTATATTGGTTTTAAATGTAATCTTATTGTAATTCTTTCACCGCGAAAATTAATCAGATTACCGTCTTGATCACAGATTTTTAAAGTTATCGAATGTATTCCTTTTGTGTTTACTGGTAGATATATAACATTTTGTGGTACCTCAATTATTTTATATCCAGGACTAACAAGCGCAAACTGATGTAGTGTGTGTGTTGTTTCGTTGTTTATATATGTACCATTTATAATATTGCATTGTACACAAATGGTATTCATTTTTGTGATATCAATTGCCTTATCAGAAGTATGTAATATATTAGGGCTTAATATATTCGAAGTGAATCCCAATAAAGAGCCGATTGATTTTTCCTTATTGAAATATATTTCATCAGTTGCAGAGAAAATTTCTGATTGCAAAGTGTTATAGTTTGGAACTAGATAGAATTTGGGACTTCCGTCGGTCTCATTCTGTGTTAACTTTCTATATTTTCGTGTCAATAGATCATTAATATCGCTGATTTCATAGGAACCTACGGGGGTTTTTATCAAATGTTTACCAATATGAAATAAATTATTGTCTACGTCAACGTTTGGAATCGAATTATAAGTGTCCAGACTGATTAACGCGCACTGATAGTTCTGTTCAAGTTCAATTGGAACTTGTTATCGACATCTTAACGGTTCGGGAGGAAATTAAATGTTTATAGGCTTTACACATACACATATATAGTATGTTGCGTGTGTGTGTTTACAAATCAATCCAGGAATTATGCTCTGATGAGAATCCTAACCATTTAACAAATGCTCTACCATTTCGATGTCTAATAACCTTCTCCACTAGATATGTATCGGGAAATTTAGTTTTCATCAGCTCATATTCGTAAAATCCTCCCTTAATATCATTTCCCT